CACACGCAGTCTAAGTCCCTGCCATAAACCGTACGAAAGCAATATAAACGCCCGGCTAATTGCCTTTCACGACCCTTAAAAATACGCTGTCGCTGACAGGTGTGTGATTATTGTTGGCGATGCTCCTGATGGTCCTATGTGCTGCTTTGTGTTTGTGTGTGGTCATTTGTGTTACTTTCTTGCGGAGTTATTTTTACTGATAAGTACTCTACTCGAACGTCGAATCTCCTGATCGAACGGTGGTTGTCTACTATGATCATGCTTGTCTCTGATGACGGATAATCGAACGTCGAATCTCCTGATCGAACGGTGGTTGTCTACTATGATCATGCTTGTCTCTGATGACAGATAAGTCTCTGTCAGTGCAGTAGTGGAAAAGTCAGCGAATTCTAAGGTGTTCCTATTTTACAACAAATGGACATTTCCACTTGTAAAAAATATTTTTCTGTTCTTGAAAGATGATAGCATAAACGCAGAAATTTGCAAAAGGCTACGTGTAGCACTTGCTTTGCTTTGAAATTTCCGAAAAATTAAGTTTCTTCCAGCCGTCACAGTAGGAAGACCCCTTAATATCCAGACACCCTTTAGAACAGTGTAACTTTTTTCAAATTGGACCAAACGACTTGAGTCCTTTCGAGAAATTAGAAGAATTAGTTTACTAAACGACGTGTATAAAAAATTGTGAAAAAGTTCACGTGAATATATACGGAAGCTTAATATAATCGAATTGTATCGAATTCTGTAGGAAACAGGTTAATCGATGAACGACTAGAACGTGTTAAGAAATTGATAAAGTGTATCGACTTAATTGTAATTTGATCAAACAATTAATCTTAAATGTATTTGCTTTGACAGTAGGGACAGTGCGTTTTAATTATTCACGACTCGAATTCAACATGTCCACGAATTAGTTAAGGAATATCTGACGTGTATAACGAACGAATCGATTGATTCTTACCTTTTATGGGAAGATACGAATTTGCATTAATGTTCTATCTATGCAAGAACCTTAAACGTTTCATATTTTGGCCTTCTTCCAATTCAACGAGAAAAATATTAAAATATTATTGCCTCTAAAAATATTAGGTGACAGTGATATTTTAAACTAACTATTTTAAATACTGATATTTTTAAAGCTATTTTAAAAATTATAACGATTTATTAAACAACATAGCAAGACCTCCTGCAGCACAGGAGATACAAATTAGGTTTCATCGAAGTCATTTTTGGACGCTGATACAGTTTCTTCGCCGGTTGAATTTTCTTCGGCAATTTTCATCGTTTCCTTTGCACTACGTGTATAAAATTCTAGCGATCCTTATTTCCGTTTAATTCCAAGCGCACTTGGCCGAAAAACGTGCTCGAGTATTCAGGAAATTCAAGGGAGTCGCGTGTTTCATTGCCTGTTAATCGGATTATTTAGAATTTCACTTGCAGCTACATTGAAATTCAAAGTTCAAGGTCCTCTCGAGGCGGGATTTACACGATCCCGTGTACAGATAACACGTAACTCGCGAGAATCCTTGGAATTTCTCTTTACCATTTCATTTTTAAACTGCCTGGCTGAACTTTTATTCCAATGTAATTTTCCGTAATTCCGTCCAGCTTGTAGAAAGCGGACACGAGATTTTCGCGATGTCAGAAAAAGACTTTAACAATTCTTATTTAACTTACTACGTTAATTTCAGCGCCAATTTAACTCTGACCTTTTATAATCAAGTCTATCGTAATTATGTTGAATTAAAATGTCTCGCAATAATTAGAGTAAATTAACGTTCAAATGTTAATTAAGAAAAGTACAATAATTATTGAGTAGCCTGTATGAAAATCGCATTGTTTTTGTGTTTATAGTATTCGAATATTAAGAAAAGAAAATACAGTAATTAATGAAAATTAGAGAAATTACTTAGAAGTATGATAAAAGTCATTTTTCCTTTAATGTGCATAATACTAAAAAATTAATAAAAGAAAATACAGTAAACAACGAAGACTAGAAAAATTATTCAGACGTCGATAAATGTGATTGTTAATAGTGCATTATTGTAGGTAAAGAAGAGTTTCATTTATCACATCCTGCTTTCAATTTAACAGATAAAACATTTAACGTACTATTGTCATTTGTCTTTTCGATTCAAACAGCCGAGAGACGCTAAAATTGCCAGTGTATTATAGTATGCTACGAGTTCCAA